ATAAATTATAATAGTAAAACAGTAATGCTCAATTCACAATTTCGCAGAAAATAATTAACTGAAATCATCTGAAACTACTATTAATAAATTGATAATATTTGTGTACAATGGAACTGATACGAGTAGTATACTAACAGTAGTCAGAAACTGATATACCAAAATAAACAGACCGACAAAAGAGTATCTATATTGACATGTATAAAATAAAGTTTTATAATATGTGATTATAATTTATAGTAATTTTTAAAAAGGTACCTATCTATTAAAATATAGGTATGGATGTCAATAAGGCGAAGATTTATTCTGCGATGTAAATTATACTAGTGTTATAAAATAATAATAATAAATGGTTTCACGTAGATACAATATAAATTGTTGTCGGTAGTGTATAACACGCATCATCACTTATAATTTATATCGTTTCGGTTGTTATTCTGTGAGAAACTATCTTCCAGAGGTAGCGGATTAAAAGAAAAAATGTGGTTTGGTTCTCGTAGTAGGTATACCTAATAGGTTAATTATTGGGCAGCGGTACGTGAAAAACGAATTTAAAAAATTAATAGTAATAGTATTAACTTTTAATGTTAAACGTAGTGAAGTAGTTAACATGTGACTATAATAATACCTTTGCCATAATGCCATGTTGTATTTTTAAATCGACAATTATTTTATGTACAAAATTATTTCATATACGTAATTATTATTAAAAGACACATAATACATTATTAAGGTGCCCCTTGCCTAGTATTATATTATTATAATAATAATATATTATGTACAGAATTAAAAATATACAAAATGAAAATTACAGATCACAAATTTCAAATCTTCTTAACACTTCGAATAAGGTATGATATGTGATTAAGTATAATATTTATTATTATATTCCATTGGCGATCGACCACTGTTACATAAACATAATATTACGATCTCGTGATATAGTTTGATGTAAATATCATATTATTATAATATAGTTGTTACTAAATCCATGAACTATTGGCCCACCGACATGAACATATCAATCTGAAATTTTTTTTTATTAGATTCTAGTTTGAAGTTTCAACTATAACAACTCAACAATCATAATAATATAATAAAAAGTATTGCCTATTAATATCGACTAAAAATCTGCAAATTAAACTAACAAATTGCTAGTCATTTTCGAGAATTTGCGAGTATCTTTTACACATTCCACAGAAGAGTGGACCGACTTTATGTAGCCCATCCACTTCACACAATTTCGTCGAGATTAGAGTCAAAAGATTTATCTTAGATACAATAAATGTATCTTTTATCGTGATTCGTGAAACTCTTCTGAATAGTATTGAGTATCTTTTACCGCGACATTTCTTAAAATTAATACATGTATCGAGTAATTAAAAAAAAATAAATGAAATAGGCGATACTAGATACAATACAATTATACTTTGGACTGGACTATTGTTTTATTTTTTGATTATTACTTTTTAAAGCGATAGCAACTTTTCATTTTGTTTTCAGAGCTTAATTATTATTTTGTCAACGACGAAAAAATTATTTGTAATAGTTAAATTCTGTTAGTAGCTACCTCATTGTTATTTGTTAATATTGTTAGCATAATCACAATCACGTCTTACCGATATGCCACTATTATACCCAGAACTTTTATGAATATCACATAGAACATTCATGGATACCAATAATTATTTTTAGGAAACGGAAAAACGGCTCACTTCTGTGTTGAACCGTTGACTGTGCCTAAGTGTCACCGTAATGGCTTTTTCATAATATAGATGGTTGGAGATAAAAAAAAAAACTAAATATTTTGATCATGAAAACTATGCAGAGCAAATTGTTTTTTAACATACAGCAGCGTAGTAATTTAAAAACGGCCAAATCGATTTATTCTCTTTTACTTACCCGCACACCTGTACACACACTATTATTATTATTTTATTCACGTTCGATTCGTTCAAAACACGTTTTCTCACTCATACATTTAATACACCGTATCGGTATCCCGTGTGACCGGCTCAAATGCCAACCATTTATGCCGTGCAGCTTTAGATGTGTTGTTATGTTTGCTCGAGAATTATATTGAGTACCTACCTATATAGTAAAATATTAAATGCGGGATTTCATATTTTTTTTTATCAAGGGAAATTTCCATTTGCACCGTAATAAGCATATAGACTCCTCCACATGTCGGCACGGGCATAACTAGGGTTGAATAGTGACAGGGGCTTGTGTCCTAAAAAATCTAAGTGCAAAAGAACTTGTGTGGGGCAGAGCCCTCTACGCCTCCCTTTGTCAGCGTCATTGGAATTTAGTAGTCCCAAGAAGACCTCTAAAATACAAATTAAAAATAAACCATAGGATCAAAGTGTAACCCCTTAAAAACAAAATGTAAATAATACAATAAGTGTATAAATATATATTAGATGTTATGATATTTAAAGCCAGAACATTGAATTTATTTTGAGTCATAGTCGACTTGATGTATATTTAATTTCTTGTTATACATGAAAAATAAAATATTAATATTATAATGGTATTCAACCATTGTTGCATGTTCGCTATTATTTTATAAGAATACGGTAATACGAGTTCCTATTTAAAGATAACAACATATTATTAAAAATAGGTGGGTTTGGGACAAGGACCAGGAGCTTAAAGCTTATAAGCTACACAATTTATACTAATATTATTTTCATTATGTATCAATGGCTATACACATTACACATAAACACATTGTTTATTGTAATCAATTATTGGGTAAACGAGAATCAACACAAATACATACACGATAATACGAAGTTGAGTAATACAACTATACAAGTATAGAATTATATATATATCTTAGTAAATTCATAATATTATTATAAAATGGTATTATGCTTCTATTAAAATACATTTTAGGCTTCTCTACAGACAAAAACGCGATTTGAGATAAAGTTCAAAAAAAATATTAATTGTTTTGTTGTATGGCTCCATTTTTTTTTTGTCGCACACAATGATATTATATATTATCAACGACTGTTCGAGTACTATTCGAGTTTTCTTTTCGTGCACGTTAGTCAGTGGTTAAGGCCTAAAAATACGTTCTCCGCTCTGTCGATTATTATATATTCACGACGATCGAAATTCCAGATGATCGGGTTGGCATATTGTATAGATAGTGGATAGACGTCATCAGTCGTCGGGATAATTGGGGGGGGGGGGGGGGGACGAGGGAGAGGATTTGCAACGACAACAAGGCGACACACACCGTGGCCGACCTTCGCCGTGGCACTATTATATACGACTGAAGGTCGGTGCACTCGGCAGCATCAGCAGCCGCGCGCGTTCGTGCTCACGTGTGACGGTGACGCCTGCGGCCGAATGTCGTCGAACTTAGTCAGTTAAAATTTGTTTTCTTGAGCGAAAAGATAATAATAGTTTATAGGTACTTTGTCATTTGCCTCCTGGTTCAGACTCGCCGAGTATCGAAGTACAATGATAAATGACAGTACTAATACGAGATGAAATAATAATCGTATTAATAGAAACTTCAAGCTTCGTGCCATTCAGTTACGATGATTATAAATCGACAAGGAATCTACAAATCGTGTTATAAGTTATAACCGTCTTGTGTCTATAAATAACAATAATCAACAATAGTGTACGGGTGTTTAATAAATGATTAACTTTGGAGTACAACTTAGGTACATAAAACCTTTTAGCCTTATACTCTAATCCACTAAAAAAACGATATGAAAAGTGTGGAAAAAAAGTTGATGAGAAGTCTTTTTCACACGAAGAATGATTGCCACCACGCGGTCGTATGTCCCGAAAGTTAAGAAACCCAAACAACTTTCTGGTTTATTTGTATTGTTACCAGGTACTAGGTACATTTCTCACACTTTCGAGTGGATAATTCTAGTAGTCTCGCCAGTCACCGTTCTCACCACAAATAACCAAATTATTAGAAAATGTGCACATTTATTTACAGATTCTTTTTTTTTTTAATACTTATGACTTTATGAGTAAAAACAGTAAAAAAAGTGTAAAAGAACCTCTCAAGGAGACTTCAAAGTAAATTTTTATATTTTTTGTAATTCTTATTTGCAATAAAATACGAGGTTTTAATAAACCTATATTATTATGTTGAACATGTGAGAGATATGAAAGTCGCACAATCTTAATAATTACAGTGGACAGACCCTGCTTGAGTAGTTAAATAGTTATGACATTATTATGTACCTATGTGCTTAAATCAATAGTTAGAAGAAATATAAATTTACTTTAAAATTCAAGTAGGTAGTCTGATTATAATATTCGAAACTAGATATTTGTTATTGACAAGTAAGTTAACTAGGTTTTATAAGGATTTAATCTTTTTTTGAAGTTGAATGAAATTCAATTCTTGAAATGTTGATTCGTAAGACTTAAAGTCTAAAATCAATTTATATATTATAATAAATAATATTTATAACTTTATAAGTAATAAATTTAAAAATTTAAAAATCTTTTATTGTTTTGTTAGATATAATGTCATCTACTGGTGGTCTAAAATGGTATTTATTTTTAAATTAATAGAACTACTAATGCACTAGACTACTAGAGTGCGCAGTTGGTAAAAAATAACATTATGGGTTTAGGATCATTATATCTAAGGTTTTTTGTTGAATTAAGTAACAAATCTCATCAGCAGATATGATAGAAATCAGAAATGTATAATATTATAATATTCTACCAATTATATAATATCGTTAATTTAAGGTAGTGTTTCCCAACCTTTTTTTACTCCACGGCCCTTTTAGATTTTAAAAATCTCACACCCCCCCCCCTCAATCAATTTTTTAAAATGATAAACGTTTTATTTTTTAATAAGCTATTTAATTTAAGACAAAATATCATTTAACATTTTAACGCTACAATTTAGTTAATTTTAAGTTTAAATACCTACCAATAATTAATAATTATATAATTTGATTAGAATTCGCTAATATAAAATTATAATACAAAAAATACTTATGTGACTAATGACTGCCCTGAGGTTGATGTTTTCCTGCTAACGAAATGATATCTGGCTCAATAGATGTCAGCATTAGTCTTAAATCTCCTCTTTCACATATTTCTAATTTATTTCTTGATTTGGTCAAAAGTTGTTGAACCGCACTAAAGCCTTTTTCGACCAGGTATGTCGACGAAAAAGCCATAATTAGTAATTCCACTTCTTTCCAAAGTTGAGGGTACATAGTTTTTTGTTTGAGCCAAAACAACTCGTATCCATTATGTTTAAAATCGATTTTAGCTTCTTCATTGTGCTTCACTTCGAGTAGTTTTTCTTGAATTAATGGTTAGACATTTTGTATATTTGCTAAAAATGGATTCAATACCCATTCTGGTATAATCAGGTCGTTGATATCCTTAAATCTAGTACTCATATTATCTTTAAGGGATTCAAGGTGTGCACAGTATATTTCTAAGTCAGAATCTAAAATTTGTTGTGATCTTGATAAGTTAGAAAAATTATTAAATTCACGACGACTAATCTTTTCTTTAAAAGACTTAATTTTGAAATAAATGCACTAATAATGGACTTAGATTTGATAAAATTAATTTTATCACCTTGCAAATTTTTATTGACTTCATTAAGTTTTTCAAAAATATCTGATAGGTATGCGATATTCGTCTCTCTTTTGTGTAATTCATCGTAAAGTTGTTTATCAAGTGGCTGCAGAAATTCTAGTATAGTTTGAAATAAATTATAAAAGCGTGTCAAACAATTTCCTTTTGATAGCCACCTAACTTCGGTGTGTAGAACAAGGCGTTCAAAGTCTTCATCATTTTCGTGGCATAATTGTCGAAACAAACGGTCATTCAATGATTTAGCTTTGATTTTATTAACAGCATTTATGACAAAACACATGATATCAAACAATTCATTACTTAAATTTTTAGCTACTAAATGTTGACGATGAATGACACAATGAACTGTTAAAATCCTAGGGACTGCATTTTTTAAATGAGCAATAAAACCACGTTGACGTCCAATTATTGCAGGCGCTTCATCAGTGGCACAAGCTATACAATTTGTAATAGGAATACCCTTTTCTATGAAAAAATTATTTACTACATTAAATATGGTTAATCCTTCAGTATCCGTGATTAATGATTTTGCAAATAGTAGTTCTTCCGTTATTTTTTGGTCGATGTTTACATATCGCACGTACGCAAGTAACAGGGCTTCGTTATCTCGTAAAGTGGATTCATCAAGTTGGAGTGAACATTTTGTAATTTTTAAAATATCACACAATTTTATTTGAGCATCATACGCCATTTCATCGTTTCGCCTGGACACAGTATTATTACTGAGAGCAATAGATGAAGTTATGTCAGTTACATTTAAATTTGTCATTGATTTTAATATTGCTTCTACAGCAGGTAAAATAAGTGTTTCGCCGATAGTGTGTGGTTTTCCACACTTCGCAACTAAAAGAGACACTTTGTAGGACGCAAGGAGACCTTTATCATTATTAAGATGTGTTTTATTAAAAAGTCCACTTATGGTTTTTCGTTTTTCAAATTTATTCTTTAGGTCACTAAAGTATAAAATATTTTTGTTACTTTTATCTGAATGTTTTTTCATAAGATGCTCTTTCATTCTTGAAGGTTTCATAGCTTCATTACTGAATGTTTTTTCACAAATGAGACACAAGGGTAATTTTTCATTTGTCGGAGATACAATAAAACCAAATTTCAAATATTCAATGGAATATTTTCTACATTTTTTGTTCTAGGACATTTTATAATATTAACGAATATAACTTTTACGTACACGCACAATAATAACGTCAAGTACCTACCAAGTACCAAATACGACTACACAGTACACATAACATTGTCGGAATCGGCTTATCATTAGCTGCTAATCGGAATCTATACGATAACTCCGATAAGACAATAATAATGTCAAGTACCTGTCAAGATAATTATTTTGATATTATTTAAGTGTATAAATATTATACTTACATAATTCTGTGGATTACATAAGGTATTTTATTCTATGCAGTTATACATTTCATTACAATCAGTTATAAACAAAAAAAATTAAATGATAGATGAGCGCCCCTTTAGCGCCCCCCTCATAAAAACGCCCCCTTCAAAATAAAAAATGCCCACGTTGGGAATCACTGATTTAAGGCGTTCAAAGGGTTTGTTTCATTTTTCAAAACGTCAATAATCGGCTATCTAAAGACTGACAAATATTATTTATAGGTTATAGCTATACATTTTTGATCGAACGATTAAGGAAAAGGACTCACCACAAAGGACTCACCACTAACTCAAAAAAACTAATACGAATATACGATTGAGAACTAATTTGAGTGCAACGCTGCCATATCATTTAATTTACAAACAATATAATCCAAAGATTCAGCTCTCTGAATTTTTTTTTAAACTGAATATTTAAATGTAAAGAAAAAAAAACTTCACTACATGGTTAGTTTGTGAGCAATACCTCTAAGATACGTGAAGGTAAACTTCATGATTGTTAAAAGCAGTCTTCAAGCGCTGTTCACGTTTTTGCTGAAAATTTGTAGGGCTTGGCTTTAGAGCTCTTCGAAGAATTATCCATTTTATGATCAATTAATTTTTATAACGTCCCGATCTCCAATGATTTCGATGTAAACCGCATTATTTTTCGTCTTTATTTTATCAAATAAAAGAGTCATGTGCCAATCTTCAAAATTGTCAGCAATATTATATGACATCAATTTCCGGTTAAATCATATTTAATTAGATAGGTATTACTATTTATTATACAACGATTTTTATCATTATAAAATATTATTACTATACAATACTATACAAAATTATATTATTAACATAGTCAATTGAGTATACATTATGCACAGATTTAATAAGAATATAAATTAAAAGTGAAATTAAATATCTTGTCGGTATTTTAGTTGTCGGTCGATTGTCAGAACCAGTTTGACAATAACATAAAAAATGTTCCCAGATGTAAATAACAAAAATGAAACTTTTTTTTAAGTTGAAATTTATTAATATAGCTACCTACTTTGGTGGAAGTATAGGAATTATTGCAGGGGGGCTAAAATGAAAGTTGCTACGCCTATGCCTAACAATGATTGTTTTTGTGGTGGTGTGCTATGACTTCGATGCAAAGTTGTAATACTTTTTTCTATTCCACTCAATAAAATAATCCATTATTCTATTATATTATTCATTATTATAATGCTATTAATTTATCAGTGTATCAGAGTAATAATTCTCACCTGTGTAAAAGCACAATGCATTTTGGATGTTATTAAACATTTTGTATTTTATTACACACTCAAGTAAAGTTTACTCAGTTGTTAACATTTTCATTAGTTTCTGAGAAAAATACGAAATAAGATAAATAAGTGTACCTACCAACAAGTCAAAGGTTTAGTTCCTTTTTATTCACATGTGTGGCTTGCCATTAATTTATTGAGTGTATATCAAGTAGTACCTATTAGTAATTCAGAAACATTCTTAAAAATGTCTAAGTATAAATTTCTAATCCTTATTTTAATGGTTATAAAATCATTATATTATTCAGAAGCCATAGATTTTACAGGCAAGTATTTTTTTTATTAATATTGTAAAAATAGCTATCCTATTTATTTTATTTTTATTTTATTTTTTACCTTTTTACTATAATATATTGTAATTACAGACATATTAAGGGCAAAGGAAGTTGATGGCGTTTTTATTAAAAGGATGACTGAAAGAGGTAAGTTAATATCATCAATAGGTATAACATTAGTTGTTCCCATTGTAAATATTATGTTTACACTAAGCATGTCTTCCCAATGTAAACTGAGTTTAATTGGTAATATTTATAAATTAATGTTAATAGGTAAAACAGAATATTATAAAATTATTATTTTTAAGTTGGTTTTTTACTGTGGGAAATGGTGCCAGTAAATTAGCCAGAATATTCTTTTTGAGGGGAGGCTACAATATTTTATTGATAGGGCTAGGGTACTACCGTTTATGGTAAGTTTGATATTTCGGGCGAAGGGGGGGGGGGCTTAGGTCCTAAAGTACCTTCTACCTTCGGCATTGGAGGATATGGATGGTCACTGGTTTGATTGTATATAGTAGTGGGGCCCATTATCTTTTTGAAGAATAAAATAAAAAAAATAAAAAAAATAAAAATATGTGGCAAGGATTTGTCACTAAAACCTGGGTGGTCACCCAACTGGGAACTAATGTAACACCGGCCAGTCCACAACGCCATACCAGGCTTCTATACTTATTTATACCTCTATATTGTCGTCAACCAATAAATGCCGAAAACTAATTAATGATAAACATTATGATTTAGGTACCCTTATATTTTTATATAAGGTAGGTACCTAAATCATATGTATGTCGTATAAATGGTACAATACAATATTTATCAGAATATGATATACCTACGTTGGTACATGGGTACATCGTTATGTCTTTCTTTACCATTTACTAAATTCGATTTCAAAAACTATTTTTATTTTTTTTATGTCCCAGATAGGTACCTATATAAAAGGTATAGGGTATACAATTATAGTTACCAATGAACAACAGACTACGTAATTCCAATTAGAAATAGGATTTTCAATGAAGACTTCTGGATAAATTAATACATTTTCAAATGATAATATGTGTTATTCAAATAACAAAAAACATTAAACATTATTTTACCTTAAACATATGAATGTGCATATCATATCTTTATCGATTACCACTCATCGACTCAATAACAAAATTTTTGTTCTGGATAACTGACAGATAATATTTTAAATCAGAAAAATATGTTCAGTATTTTGTTCTCTTGATGGCAGTTACTATTTATTAATATTTGTCTGTCATATTTAGTCGATCTTATTTTGTGCATCTATGTATATTTACCTATATTAAAGTATTTATATAAAATTAAAACATTTTATTATTTACATGCGCCATGAATATTATAATGGTTTTTTTTTTTTGGAAAAAACTGTGTTTATTAGTTATTAGTTATTTGTTACTGTGGTTATTAGTTGTGTCTCAGAAAATACATTCAGTTATCTAGATTTACTAAAAATTAGGTTCATATTTCAATTTGAGGCCCCTGCAAATGTGTCATTTTTAAGGAGTTGTGTTTAGGCAATTATTTCGTTCCTGCGATTACTGATCGTCTTTGTGTGTGTAGTAAATGATCATTTGTGTGTGTATACTCCCCTACCATCACCCGCGACCCGCATCAATTTACAACACATTGTTATTTCTTATCTGATTTATGGTCGCGCACGCACGCACACGCACAAGTCATTCAATGTCTAGATCAAAATATTTAAAACCAATTTATGGACGTGAAATAGCCGTCGCACTGACAAAAATTTAGGTACTTCTAGTGGTTCGATTTAAAAAATGTAAAAATGTTGGTGTTGGTAAACAAGTTTACTTTGCATCGGTCGGTGCACTTTTTCAATTTTAGAAAAAATTCTTGACGAGAATAAATATTTTACATTTTATAAATTTATAAATTTTTAGTATTGAATATCTTCAAAAATATCAAACATATGGTCTAACCGATGCAAAGTAGACTTGTTGACCAATTAAAACATCTTTACATTTTTTAAATCGATAAACTAGAAGTACTTAAATTTTTGTCAGTCGCTAAGGTCGATTTGATGAAAAACGAATAGAGTTTGCAGGGGCCTTAATAATTTTATTTTCCTTGCCATGCATATTGTACAATTACTTATGACGGTAACAACTATCAAAATGTATTATTGTTAAACTTTATTATTTCTCACTGCAGTTAATGTATAGGTTTCCCTCATCATGTGTGTTTCTATGTGCTGTTTATTATTATTATGTACACAACCTATTTACTTATTGTGTTTGTAATATAGGTTGTAAGTTGAAAAAAAAAATACTAAGCAACTGTTTACTATTATGTATTCAGCTTATTAACTTATGTTTTGGCAAAAACATGGGCATATTATATAAAATATTGTTATTTTGTTATGATTTATTATGTACCTATATTAACTGTAACGAAGTAAAACAGCCAAATTATAATGCCATTTACTACAGATTGTATTATTCGAGACATAATTATAATATATTATAAGTAGATATTATTGCTGGTTAAAAGAGCAAAAAAAGTTGAACATAATATTTTGAATTGCGCTTTATTTTAAAAACATTTCATAGGTGTAAAATTGTTATTAATTTGTAGTTTTGTAATTTATGTAACTCAATTTATTCAATCAAAATTATTCTTTAGAACTAGATGACTTTCTCTTGAAGAAAAGCTCATATGCACAGGAGTGTTCCTGGACGTTGAACAGGCATTCGATTGTGTTTGGCACCAAGGGCTCCTCCACAAAATTAAAGCATTTTTCCCTCCATACTTGTATTTATTTATTAAGTCATATCTTAGCGATCGCCACTTCTCTGTGCGCTCTGGAACAATTCTTTCAAATATTTCTAAAATAGAAGCTGGTGTCCCGCAAGGTGCAGTTATTGCACCACTCCTTTTTAATATCTACACCGCGGATCAACCCACTACCCAAAACACAATAGTAGCCGACTTTGCGGATGATAAAGCACTACTTGCATGCCACTCTGACCCAGACATAGCTGCATCCTTTA